GCCTAATACTCGACCATCATATCTAAATTTGGCAGTAAGGAAAATAGTTTTTTAACCAAAATCACGTGTAACCCTTTCTTAAAAAATTTTATTGCATTTTTGAACGAATCACGAAATTGCAATTTTTGAAATTTGAGCGCGCGGCGCAGCATTAGGAGGTCTTTAGACTGAGCCAACCATAGGAGACCTAGCACAACTCCCTCCAGTTTGTCCTTCTCAAGTATTTAGATCACCAATTTGGAAAAAAAATTTCCCACTATTCATAATCCAAACAAAAATTAACCAAGAAACTGACCTTTTGTAGTTTCTATGATACCACTCATGTGGTCAGCACTCGAAAAGCAGCTCAATCTCTCAATGCAATATTCTTTAATCACCCCCCTTTTGATGAAACATGCAATGATCCAATAGTTTCTGAATGCATAGATATACTGGAATTTGAAATATCAAATGATGATCACTCAACTGCTCAATTCAAAAACTTAACAAACTTTCCTCATAAATTGTGTTTAGAAGGTGCATGTGTGATGTTTCTTAATAATAAGCTGTTTGATGAAATATGCAATGGAACTATTGGAATAGTGACAAAAATTTATGATCAGGGTTGGGATTCGTAGGGTTGTTAATGGTCCGGTCCAGTCTGGTCTGGTCCAAAGACTGTCAGTCTAACCAAAGGACCGGACCATTGGACTGGTCTGAGACCATGGTTCAGACTTTGAATAAAAATGAGTGAAACGAAATAATAAGAATTTGTATATATTATTATTATGAATATTTTTGATTAATATTAATATTAATTAATACAAGATTGAAATAATTTGTATTATGAATATTTGAATTAATATTAATATTAAAAGATTGAAATAATAAGAATTTGTATTACGAGTAGAAACTGGTGAAATTTAACTATATTAAGTTAAAAGGATGAAGCTTATTAATAATGGTTTTTTTAAAACAATTATCTATCATTTTCACATGAAAACAATTATATATTATTTGTAAATTCAGTATACAAAAAATAGAAATATTTTTTTGAAAATGTCTACATTAGAATCCAATAATAATAATTCAATTCAAAATCATTCAACCATAAATTTCGATGAACAATATCCAAACATTAATTCTGATGAGTTTTATCATATTAATGATAGTTATGAAAGTATTGATTCAGAATCAAACTCCAATA